ACTTGCAAAGAGGGTTCACCTTAAATTGAGGACGACACAGCGAGCAATGGAAAGAAAAATGGTAGGTGTAACCTTAAGAGACAAGAAGAGAGCAGAGTGGATTTGGGGGCAAACGGGGGTTGAGGATATCATAGTTAAAATAAAGAAGAGGAATTGGACATGGGCCGGGCATGTAGCGCGTAGACAGGATAACCGTTGGTCATTAAGGGTAACTAACTGGATTCCCAGAAAAGGGAAGTGGGTTAGGGGGAGACGGAAGGTTAGGTGGGCAGATGAGATTAAGAAGTTTGCGGGTATAAATTGGCAGCAGCAAGCACAGGACCGGGTTAACTGGCGGAACATGGGAGAGGCCTTTGTCCTGCACTGGACGTAGTCAGGCTGATGATGATGATGCATCTTAAGGAATCACATCGTTGACATTTTGAACTTGGAATAGGCAGTACAGTTTTGAGAACTCCGCAGCACGATCCATGAAGATAGTACAGACATTTTAACACTACTAGCTGAGAGACTTTAAATGCCGAGCAGTGCGGAGAACGTAGTAGCTCTGTATTCCAGTGAAAGACATCTGTAAGAATAATGCCACATTTCAATTTAATTAGTACTATTGCCACTGCGTAATGTGTTGATAAGCATTTGTGAGTGTTTCGTACTCTTGAGAAAAAGTCTTTATATCACTTGTGGACATGCTTTGGGACATAGGCCTTGACCAGACGTGCTCGTTATTTGCCGCTGTTATCGCCTGCGCATCTGTCGTGCATGTGTAGATTGTTCACGTGTGATCACTTCAGCTCTTGTGTCAGGTATCATGCCAGTGCTAACATGTGGAGCTCGGCCTTTAAATGTGGCATTTGACCTTTAAATTAAATGTGACTAAATAAAAAGAATGAGCATTTTTGAAATGTGTTTGATAACTGACAGTAGATTATGAAAAAAAAAAAAAATGGGGTAAAGGGAAGATGGCCTGCTTTGTCCCTCTCAGAATGCTCCTAAAAGTGGGCAGCACACGACATCACTCAGTCAACTGCACTTTTCAGGCGTGACAGAAACACTTCATAAAATGCTGGTTAGGTGTGCTACTTGGCTGTTGTTGACCCGCAGGGCGCGGGTTCGAATCCCGGCTGTGGCGGCTGCATTTCCGATGGAGGCGGAAATGTTGTAGGCCCGTGTGCTCAGATTTGGGTGCACGTTAAAGAACCCCAGGTGGTCTAAATTTCCGGAGCCCTCCACTTCGGCGTCTCTCATAATCATATAGTGGTTTTGGGATGGTAAACCCCACATATCAATCAATTACTTGGCTGTTGGCATTGTCTGATGATTTCTGTAGATTCAAAGTATGTGTTTCCCATATGAATGAAACACAGAAATGTTTCATTTTAAAATGCATTATGCATTAGTAATGTATGCCACGACCATGCCATCTAAAAGAGATTTGCTATTTTTTTCCTGCTCCATCATGTGACCACAGACAGGTGTTGATGATTTGGTGGTGAATGTGAACAAGTACACTGTTTGGCTAATATGGCTGCCTTTCTAAACTTTAAAAAATCAGGAAAGCACCTGAATTTGTTAATAAACTGTTTAGGGTACTTGTTCCTGAATGCTCATTTTCTTGTTTTAATAATGATGCTTCATTATGTTACAAACACAAGGATGTAAAAGTGCCCTGATAATAATGATAGCACAGTGCATTGTTCATGGGCTATTAACAGCATATTTAATTAAAATCCAGCAGATTTTTATTCATTAGGTTATCTTCAAAAACTACTTGTAACGCTTTTGCTTGTTAGACACATGGCCACAGGCAAGCACTTTTAGCAGCAGTTAGAGAATCCCCTCCTGGGCAAGCAAAACTGATATACAGTAGTCTCAAATACTACAACCTGCTGTTAAGATTCTTATACAGCCTGTGTACGTGAGTTAGCATTATCGTATAATCTAAATGATGTGAACTATTCTGTGCTGTTTACAGAGCCAGCTATTTTCTAGATATGATTTGACCTCAAATGTTTGAGCCGCTAATCATCACGTGGACTTGAGACATTAAATCCCAACAATTAAATAATTAATCAGCTTTATAATCATGATAGCTCATCACTTACTCCTGTCAAATGTGACAGAATTCATTCTAGCCAGCTAAACACTTTTCTGGCAAAAACATTTCAGCAGTCTGCAGGTGTCTAAACACTTTTCTAGCAAAAACATTTCAGCAGTCTGCAGGTGTCAAGCGTTGGCTCCGGGCCAAGACCTTTTTTTTTACAACATTTACGTGTTCGCTGCGGATATGTCTGCCAAAGCTGTGCTTTAGTTCGTGCTTGGCTAATGTTGACGCGGCTACATTGCAGGTGACGTCAAGAGCGCTTGCGATCATGCAGGGGATGGAGTTCTGTGTTAGAGCTGGTTAGCTTGCAGGTTACTTTGGCAAATGGGAAGTAACGTGCAGCTTTTCAACGCCATCCTTTAGGCCTAGCTAAGAAGCAGCAGGAACTTTACGTGTGCGGCTTGCGAGGTATTTTATTGCTTCTGCTCATACCACAGGAACACACTGTAGTATGGGGCCACTGCATTATGCTAATAATAGCCAACAGCTGCTTGACACACACGCCTGCGGGCACTCGTCATGGCAAACTGCTCAGCAACCGCATCGATTGCGGTGTCACTTTCCGTAGTCGCAGTTGCTTCGGACTGTGTGAATGCGTTGGGTATGTGATGTGTCTAAGCACACACGTTCCCCAAACACATGTGTGGGCGTGTTCGGGCAGACCGTGCTTGTGCTGCTCAGGAAAACCAGCTATAACCTCTGCACAACCAAACATTTCTACTTTAGGACCTCTTTCTTTGTCGCCAATGTTTGGTAACTAGAAAAGCCATAGTGACACCTCACCCTGATTGTGAAGGGTTCCTCTACAAATGATGGCCTCTCGTGTGAAAGTTACTATCAGTTTGCCCACCACGTAAAGCAGCGCCAATTTTCGCAACATTGTCTTCACTTTCTTTTATGTGGCACATGAGGAAATTTCACGCAGTCAGAACGGTTACTTTCGGCATCTGCTTTTAAGGGCCACATGTTAAAGTAGTAAAGGTTTCAATTATTCTTTAGTCCTGCACAGTTTTCGAATTAAATTTCTTTTTATTTAGATGTCATTCAAATAGTGCCCTCCTCCTTCATTGCTGTTCTTTTTTTATCTGGGCACCTAGGATGAAAGCATTGTCATTTATTGAACCTTCCTTCTGGATTTGCATTTTGACATTTATACTCTTTCTTTTCATGCTCAATGAACTTTCATTGTACTTGCTTCGGACAATCGTAATGAAACTTTCACTTTCATGAGAAGCCTCATTCTCAAAATCAGTGTTTTTTGTTTGTTGGTTGGTTTTCACCTTGGTAAATTTCATGAATAAATTAGTTTCTCTATTTCTCTCACGTTTTCTTGCTCATGCTTGCATGCGAGCTTGCTTGGATTTTGTCAAGTTTATATGATTTAGCTAGCTCTGCGAATTGAACCCAGTGTCTTGCTTCGTGAAAAATAAACTGCTCGTGAATTTTTAAAACTTTCAAGAGACGAGACAGTAAACGATGCTGAGAAAACGGAAGGGAGAAAAAAAATTTAATAGTACGTGTTCTACCTTAGTACAGTGAATCCTCGTTATGAAATTTTTACATGATGTTGATAATAAGGCACATGGGGTTCAATTTTCTAGGTAAATGGTAAAGGCCTCAGACTTGAGAGCCAAGTTTGCTAAATAGTTCCTTTGTCGTTTGTAAGTGATACAGAATCGTTGATTAATGTTTGCACAGTGCAGTGTCTATTGCGTTGACAGAAAAACAGATTGGGGCCTATCGTCAGCAAATCTCTCCCAACCAACAGGGAATGCATTTGCACGGAAACGAGTGAAGAGTTGATAATGTGTCAAGAGTTAACAACCCCCTCCTGATAAGTCGGCGCCATCAGTATGTTGCAACTCATGTGAAGATGATGCATCGTTGCCCGCACAGAATGCGTCATTTGGAGTGTGCAAGGCAGTGGGAACTGTTGTAGTGCACATTTATTGCATTGCGCATAATTCATTCTGTATTAAATGTCAGATAGGTGAATCTGCTTTTCAGGTGATATTGCAGTACTTTTGTGCAATCTTCTATTGTTTCGGTGGTTATCTGGGTCATCATTATTATGAACACTCGTAGTTTGTGAGAAGATTGTTTCACTGTGTGTGGAATTTGCTCAGGTTTTTCTGCATGATTCGTTTTCCTCTTTTTATTACTTTCCAAGTGTTGTCCTTGTAACTGTGAGATAGCCAGCTACAAAAGAAAAAACAACCTTTCCATGTTTGGGGTTAATAATTGAAGAGATTGCAAAAGAAAAACAGTCGTACATTACAGTGAATTTAATTTACTTACATTCAATGTTATCTCACAAATTGACGGGAAGCCAACTACTTGTCTTTACTTTTTGACCACAGTAATCCTAGTAGCAATTTCAACTTGTTTCAATTTCCGTAGGACAGTTCATCTCTCTTGCTTTGCATTTTTCAAGGTACTCTCGCTCAATTTCAGTAGGTGATGAAATTATGAAAAAAATACAATTTTTTCATGCGGATTGCTGCATGACCTAGCTTTGGCATTGTTTCTTCAGAACACCATGGTGATTCCACGTTTCATTTCATGAAACATGAAGGTACAATAAGCCTGTGTTTTTATATTGAGAAGCACTAACTTCTTTTACTCACTGCGGTGGTCTGGTGATTATGGTGCTCGTCTGCAGACCCAAAGGTCGCAGGATAGAATCCCAGCAGTGGTGGCGGCATTTCTAAAAAGAAACAATGCTGCTTGAGCCCCTTGTTATTAGATTTAGGGTTTTGTTAAAGGTAGTTGAAATTGGTGGCACTTTTCACTCCAACGGCTCTCATAATCATATTGTGGTTTTAAGACCTAAAACCCCAACCATTATTATTAATTATTAGCTCGCCACTCCTGTCAATTCACCGTCTTGCAGCAGTTCAAGCATGCCGGCAATGGGACGTAGGGGCTCGGCCTGCGACAGCGAGAGTCCGGACCCAATGGCCGGCATCGGGGGGGCCTCCACAAGCTCTGGAGATGAGGCATCGACTGACTGCAAGGACTCGGCCTATGTCTCAAGCGAGGGCCTCATGGGTGAGCATGGTCGACTCTCAAAATTTTCCTGACGTTTACATGAAGTAGGGTTCGTCTTACAGGTCAATTTTTGCTTTTCCGTGTTATGCAATTCTGCTTATACGTTATCAAGCTTTACAAATAATAATAAAGTGGTGAACCTTCTCAGCTGTAATAGCTAAAGTCAATAGCGGTAAGTGCATTAAATGAAGTGGTTACCGAAAGGCTGTGTCCTTATCAGCTCTTTACAGCTCTTATCAGCGCTTTCTACCTGGTTTATTAGGTACACTATTTGCCATCTATAGACATAGAGGAATATTATAGCATTAATGAAAGGGTGGTAGGTATTGTAATTAAACTGAATAAAAGATACAAGATGAAGGTAGTACAGGCTTACGCGCCTACATCCAGCCATGATGACGCTTCAGTTGAAAGCTTCTATGAAGACGTGGAATTGGCAATGAGTAAGGTAAAAACACAGTATACTGTAGTGATGGGCGATTTTAATGCAAAGGTAGGGAAGAAGCAGGCTGGAGACTAGGCAGTAGGAGATTATGGCATCGGCACTAGAAACGCCAGAGGAGAGCTACTAGTAGAATTCGCAGAACGCAATAATTTGCGGATTTTGAATACCTTCTACCGAAAACGAGAAAACCGCAAGCGGACATGGAGGAGCCCTAATGGCGAAAATAAGAACGCAATAGACTTTATAATGACTGCACACCCAGGAATCATGCAGGATGTGGAAGTGGTTGGCAAGGTACGATGCAGTGACCATAGAATGGTACGGTCTCGAATTCGCCTAGACTTGAAGAAGGAACGACAGAAACTGATACGCAAGAAGCCAATCAATGAGCTAGCACTGAGAGGGAAAGTGCAGGAATTCAGAGTGTCGCTGCAGAACAGGTACTCAGCTCTTAGTGAGGAAACCAACCTTAGCGTAGATACAATGAATGATAATCTGACGAGTATCATTACGGAGTGTGCAGTGGAAGTTGGAGGCAGGGTAGTTAGACAGGACACTAGCAAGCTTTCCCAGGAAACGAAGAACCTAATTAAGAAGCGTCAAACCATGAAAATGCCAAGTACAACAGACGAAATAGAACTGGCAGAGCTTTCGAAGTTGATTAACAGACGTAAATTATGCGATGTAAGAAGGTATAACATGGAGAGAATTGAACACGCTCTGAAAAACGGAGGAAGCTTCAAAGCAGGGAAGAGGAAACTTGGGATAGGCAAAAGTAGGATGTATGCACTAAGGGACAAAGAAGGCAAAATAACTACCAATATGGATAGGATAGTTAAAATAGCGGAGGAGTTCTACAGAGATCTGTACAGTAGCCGAGACAACCCCGACCTTAATACTATAAGAACTAGCAGTAACCCAGACGATACCCCACCAGTAATGATAGAAGAAGTCAGAAAAGCTTTGGAGAGCATGCAAAGAGGCAAAGCTGCTGGTGAGGATCAGGTAACATCAGATCTGCTGAAAGATGGAGGACAGATTGTGTTAGAAAAACTAGCCACCCTGTTTACGAGGTGTCTCCTGACGGGAAGAGTACCAGAGTCTTGGAAGAACGCTAACATCATCTTAATACATAAGAAAGGAGATGACAAGGACTTGAAGAATTACAGGCCGATCAGCTTGCTCTCTGTAGTATACAAGCTATTTACAAAGGTAGTAGCTAACAGAGTAAAGAAAACAATAGAATTCAATCAACCAAAGGAACAAGCAGGATTTCGAACAGGCTACTCAACATTTGACCACATTCATACTATCAATCAGGTAATAGAGAAATGCTCAGAGTATAACCAACCACTATACATAGCCTTCATAGATTACGAGAAGGCGTTTGATTCAGTAGAAATATCAGCCGTCATGCAGACACTGCGGAATCAGGGCGTAGATGAAGTATATATAAACATTCTGGAAGAAATCTACAGGAGATCAACTGCTACCATAGTGCTTCATAAAGAAAGCAACAGAATACCAATCAAGAAGGGTATAAGGCAGGGGGACACAATCTCACCAATGCTATTTACTGCGTGTTTACAGGAGGTTTTCAGAGGCCTAGAATGGGAACAGTTAGAGATAAGAGTTAATGGAGAGTACCTTAATAACCTGCGCTTCGCCGATGACATTGCATTGCTGAGTAACTCAGGGGACGAATTGCAACTCATGATTACGGAGTTAGACAAAGAGAGCAGAAAGGTGGGTCTTACAATTAATCTGCAGAAAACGAAAGTAATGTACAACAACCTCGGAAAAGAGCAGCGCTTCGAGATAGGTAATAGTGCACTTGAAGTTGTAAAAGACTATGTCTACTTCGGGCAGGTAATAACCGCAGAGCCGAACCATGAGATAGAAGTGACTAGACGAATAAGAATGGGGTGGAGCACATTTGGCAAGCACTCTCAAATTATGACAGGTAGATTACCACTATCTCTCAAGAGAAAGGTATATAACAGCTGTATCTTGCCGGTACTTAGCTACGGAGCAGAAACCTGGAGGCTTACAAAGAGGGCTCGGGTTAAATTGAGGACGACGCAGCGAGCAATGGAAAGAAATATTGTAGGTGTAACCTTGAGAAACAAGAAGAGAGCGGAGTGTATTAGGGGACAAACGGGGGTTAAGGATATCATAGTTGAAATAAAGAGGACATGGGCCGGGCATGTAGCGCGTAGACAGGATAACCACTGGTCATTAAGAGTAATTAACTGAAGTCCCAGAGAAGGAAAGCGGGTTAGGGGGAGACAGAAGGTTAGGTGGGCAGATGAAATTAAGAAGTTTGTGGGTATAAATTGGCAGCAGCAAGCACAGGACCGGGTTAACTGGCGGAACATGGGAGAGGCCTTTGTCCTGCAGTGGACGTAGCCAGGCTGATGATGATGATGATTTGCCATCGTGACTGGTGAGGTTCATCATGAGTTATAAATTATCAACTGTAAGTGTAAGATCCGGGCAAACATTTAAAAAGAAGATGGGTGCTTTCCCAGACTTTCAACCTCGAAACATTGTGTCAATGGGATTGTTCCATATTTTGATGTTGACAGCTTGGCAGGTACAATAATTTCCTTGCTTCTTTCTGATGGAGTGTGTGCAGTGGGTGACGTAGGTCGTAACTGTTTCCTGGGAACTTTACAAATAAGTCAATACCAGTGAACTGTAGACAAAGTAATGTTGTTCATCACTGAACCACTGTAACCTCACGGGACATCTCGCGACATAGACACAGCCATCGCAAAGACATTTCTACTTGTTGAAACACTGACTCCATGGAATTTCCTGTTGAATAATTTCTCATCGCTGCTAGTGTCAGTTTTTCCCTGAATTTCTTTCCTGTATGGAATCCTGTAAAGTAGTTTCAGAGCAGGTAAAGCTTGAAGAAGAAAATGTGAGAGATGTTCAAAATTTTTTATGGCACCTAATAGAGGTAATGAGTTCAGGGATGTTAATTACTGATTTTCGAATTCTAAGAAGGATGGAAACAATACTCATTAGGTCTATCCTTTATTTATTAAGATACTTTTTCAGTTGTAAAAATACTGTGCACACTTTACCACCTTTTGTTGTATGGAAAATCAATATTACGTATATGCCGCTTAAAAAAAAAACACAATATTACTTCGGTTACGCCTCAGTGGAAAGTTGAGAAAGGTCAACAGAAATGCTATAAAAGTGCTCGGGAATTTTCATAAGTGGTAGCCTCGCATCAGGAGACAGCTATACCCATAATTCTTTGCTTTCAGTGGCACAAGACAAATATGCGTTGTCTGCATCCCAATGAAAGATGCTCTGTATGCATTCGGGGGCGTGTGTTCCTGCCAAATGAAGTTCTCCATAAAAATCGCCACTATAATACAGGTGGTGGTGCACAGTACTGCTTGTAATTACGAGGAAGAGGGTGTTGGGAACAATGGGGCCTTTCTTTTTTTTCAATAGCTTTTAGATAGCTCAATCACCAAGTTTTATGTTTTTATGTGCATTAGTGTTGTTTTATGCTGTATAAGCTGTGTATTAGTGTACAGTGAATGCATGAACATCTAAATTTTAATAAATGATTGGGTGATAACTAGGTTGCCAACCGTTTAACAAATTACAGTGTGTCTTATGTGGTTTGCCACTCACCTTTGCCTTCCACCTCAGGCAATGTCTTCGCTACATACTTCTCTTTACGGTCACACCAGTTGTAGGCAGCAAAGTAAAGGGTGCTGTGTGTCTTCACAGCTGACTAGAACAGGAAAACGGATGATCGCTGCCCGTATGGCGTTAGCTGAATGAGACATTCACCTAGGGGATCAGCAGCTGTTCACTGGAGCGGTGCTCTTGTCTTTCTTCAATCAAGCAAATGACACCTTTTACCCTGGAGATGTCAGAAGCGTGACGCTACTGGTGTCACTACAAAGGAGCAAAGTATGAGTATAGGTGAGAGAGAGAAGCATGTGTTCGTGCGTTTTCCAGTAAACAATTTTTCGTAGCTTTTCTACAGTTTGTAGCTTTGGCACATTTGCCAAAGGTGATTGTCTTGTCGTTCAACACGTGACGCCTGCGTCTATTTTAAAGGTGTTCAAAATGTCGAAGGTTGGCGACAAAGGACCTTTGAAAGCCAGCAGCAATGAAATTTCAGGTCACTTAGAAAACTAGAGCATTTCGTTAGAAAAGGTGAAAGTATGACATGAGCTTCAGGAAGTCATTATGTGGTTTCAATACCAGAACTTAGGAGAATGCCACTATTATTACACTCCAGGATTAAAACATGATAGTACAGTCATGTCTTTGGCATGACTTTCGAGGTTAGGTGTAGCATGCAGCTGTCCATTGTCTGTTTATGAAGTCTTTGAAACAATCTCGTGAGATATTGCTGTGGGAAAAGAGGTGGGAAAAGGGAGGCTACAAGGCAGACAAAAGGCTTACAAACTGCACGTGCGCATTCTTTCATCTAAAGCATCTTTTTGCTGACAATTAGCCATTTTTGTGTGTTTGGCAAATACATGCCTGCCAACTTTTTCAATTGTTCTGTAAAGTTCACATATTTGTGCTCAATCTGAGATTTTTCAGAAAGTAAGTTTGTGGAAAAAAGAAGTGTTTCGCTTAGCAATCTGTGGCCATACCTTTTGAAGCCTTTAGGTAGGGCACCGTAATGCCGCATCTTATGAGCCAGTTTATTTATACGAACAGAATATCTGCAAGAAGTGTTCGCGAAGCACGCATTACTGAACAAAATGAATTTCCTGAAAAGGCACACCTTGGTAAATGGTAACTTCGAATCAGTACAGAACTGGAAGGGAGCGAGGCGTCTCAACATGGAGCATAGTTGAATGGCAGCACTTCTGAAAACAGAATTGCTCTGCGTATTGTAATTGCACCACTGAAGCTTAGCTGTTTGAACTTTGGAAGCTGCACGAGTAGTTTGATCATGCCCCTTTAGAGCCCTTCTTTTTCAGCAGACATGCATAAAATTTTGTGGTCTCCATCTGGCATTTTCTTCAGGCACCATTGTTAGTCTTGCTTCGCCCAGAACTGAATATATAGTAGCTTCGTCGTTGGCTCAAATGTCACCAACTGCAACTGAAGTTGAAAAACCCCATCATAGATGCCATAGATGGTTTCTCGTCCTCTTTTGAAATGGAACACAACGTCACGAGGAATGAAGACTAATAGCGATGTCATAGAAGCACTGAACACCCTCGAAGTTGTTCACATTCGGGAATTCCTGAGAGCGATATCTGGTGGCCAAGCCTGTGAAGCCACAGATTGGCAAAAAAAAAAAAAAAAGCTGTCGAACTTTCTCAGACTAACTCAAGAAGTATATTTTGGGCTAAGAACTCGCTCGGACTTGCCAATCCTCCTCAACCAGACTCTCTCAGACTCATGAGCGAGTTTCGCCGACCTATGGTCTCCACCGCCTTAACATAACCTACACAAAGGTGCATCTAAAGATTCTACGCCTGCCCTAATTTCCTTGTCTGTAAGCAATTTGTGTGTCCACTGATTTACCTACCGTACCCTTCGTCGCCATCCGGCCACCGCAGTGGCAGCTTGCCTAAAGCAAGGCCCTGCACAGAGCAGTGTGGTGTGAATCTCTCACGCAGACACAAGCCCGCCCATGGCGTCGACATGGTCCCAGTTTCCAGCCGGTTCGGAGGTGGTGTTCGACAGGCTCACCGAACTGGCCATCATTGCAACAAGCCCGGAGAGCCCACTCCTGAGGGACTCGCCGCCACCCATTTACCCAACCTCATCATCATCGTCATCCACTGCAGTAAGGGTGCATCTACTCCGGTTGCCTTCTTTGGGCTTTACCCATGGTTCTGAATAAAGTAACCCTACAAAGCTTACATAATTTAACCTACGAACAATGAACCCAATGGGAGGTATAAGGGACATTATCTGTAGATTTTTACTGTAGTGAAGTAGTTATGGCATAAATTTAAATTCAGTAAGATGAAAAATTAATGCAGTAAGCACTGTACCTACAGCGTTTGGATATCGGCTGCTGTAGCTCAATCAGTAGAGAGAGCATTGGATGAATTATCTGAAAGTTGTAGGTTCGGTCCCGACCTGCAGCAAGTTGATTTTTCATCCACTGTAACTTCTTTCCATTAAGCCCATTAATTCCATTTCTTTCCATTTCATTTCATTTCTTTCTATAATTTTTTCCATTAATTCACGACGCCTACAAATAATGTACCTTATGGCTCCCTCAACTTCATTGTCTGTTGGTTTAATTATCGTAGTAGGGTTGACAGGCTGGCTATTTGCTACAGGCGGGCTAGTTGGTTGCTTGTCTGTTCTCTTGTGTCCCGTTGGTTTGCGCTTCCAATTATTTCATTATAGTTTAATTATGTTGCAGTTAACAAAGAAACAAGCCCCTGATACATTCCCCTTTTCATTCCTGCAAAGCCAAAAAGAACAAGGGTTGTAGTAGTTTGTAGTTTAGAATCACACTGTGGTAATTTTGAGACAAAGGTAAGCCAGAGTCGACGGGAATGAAATAGAAAATGATCCCCAATAGAGATCGAACCCACAACTTCTGCATTACTCATGTGGTGCACGTCCAGTTTTTTCGTGGCAGTAGTCATCCCCTTCATTGGGCAATTCTGCAGGTGTAGCTTTGGGAGTGCTAACCAATGCCACTCATAGCTTTGTTCGCGAACGTGTAACGTTGTTTTGTTCTCGACACAGCACCTCATAACACAAGGTCTTTATGAGGTGGCACACTCAACCCGTGCCCCCCCCCCCCCCCCTCCTATGTTTTTTTTAATCATGGCCTACAGAGCTAAAGATGACCGTTTCAAGGAGGTGCATCCCCCGAAAAAAATTTCTGCCTACGCCCCTGCTTAAAAGGCTACCGGCTAGGGTCAAAGTCCTTGTTATGAAATGAGCAAAACCATAATGGATTGAATGACCTACTTTTTTGGGGCAAAATCGAATGAAGCCTTCAGTCAATGGAGTGCAGGAGAGCATGGCATAGACGGTTCTTGTGGTCTTAACTGAAGTATAGTGATTTATTCATTTTTTAGATATATATGTATGTTTCAGTTAAAAAGAACCAAGTAATAAAAAATTTATCGTGAGCACTGTGCATCTCCAATCAGCTCAGTGTGGACCTGAGTCGTATAGAGCACGTCGGAATATTTTTTCCGATCCGCCAAGCTCGGCAGTTATCAAAAATTGCTCAATAAGCTTCTCTTAAATTTCAAGAGAAAAATTTTCAATGCAAAACTTGTAGCGCTTATCCAAAGATAGCAAAATTTTCAACCCGTGGTAAGATAGCTTTGCTGCTTAATTTTTTTCTTTTTGTTTGTTTAAAGTGAGCAAAATTTTTAAACATACCATGATTGCCACTTAACATGCGTCATTTTTGTTACCTTCAAATGTAAGTTCAAGGAGTTATCAAAGAAGACTGCTCACGCATGATCGTTGCTTGAATAAGCTATAATTAGTGACTACGATGAATGTTAAACCATGGTAAGATGGTAATGTTTAAAAGCAAACAAGAAACCTTTAACAGGGGAGGGGGGGGGGGGGAAGCAGCCACCATGTGTTAATGTGATACAAGACTGGAGGCAGCATTTGATGCAGTGCCAGCATTTTTTCCCCTTTCTTTTCTGGCTAACAATAAATGCGATGAAAGGGGAGAGGGGGACAATTGCCTAACGTTCATCGTAGTCACCAATAACCTGTTCAAGCTACCTTCGTGCCGCATGTTAAGTTCGCGCACTTCAAACAAAGGCTGAAATAAACTTAAGCAGCTCAGTTGTCGTACCGCATATAGAAAATTTTCAGCGTACCAAACTTGGAGTAAAGAACAGTGAGAAAGATAACATAAGAGACTAGGACTAATACTCTGTTAGGATGAAGTGTGCGTGTTTTCATTTTCTGTTCTGCAGTTTTTAAAGAATACTGTGTTATTGCTTTGAACGCGACCAGCGCTTCTATGAATACATCAACGTGGTCTGCTATTTGACCTAGCAATGCTCACGTGCCAGGACGGCTGCGGTGTCTGAACTCCTCAGTGACTGCTTCACTCACTGGGGCTGTAGAAGGTGGATGCATAGTAAACTGAGTGCTTTTCGGTTCGGGGCTTGAATGCGTGCCTGTTGTGTTCATTGTTCTGTCGCAGTTGTGACATAAGTACTTCTGTTGTTTTCCCACAAGGGCGGGCCACCACCACCACTGTCACCACCAGGACGCCAACGATCATTCAGCCTGTCGGCGCTGCATTCCTATGCACGGCCACCCCTGCCCCCTCGCTTGGGTCATGCTGTCTCACATTATCCACCAGGATCAGGTCCACACGGCACCCAGCCCATGGGGGTCATCGATGACAGTCCCAGGTCAGCAGTACTTCTTTAATCTTTTAAAGAGTATAGCCTTTCTCGGGATACTTGAATGCAGAAATTTTGGTCGGCCTGTCTGTCACACGATTCAGCCACACGACCAAAGTTCTAAGCGCCAGCTGAATGCCCAGTTATGTTGAACTGGTGGCTATGTTCATACTTGTGAACATTGTTGATTGAAAAGCAAATATGTATATCTGAAGTGCAACATCAGTACGCAAGTATTAGGTGGTGTGTTCCTTTAATAGAAAATACATGGATATCTAATTCTAGAGACCTTGGTGTTTCTTAGGTTGTGCTGAAGATGTGACGCTATGCACGATGAAAATGCGACACATGCACGAGAAAAGTGCGATATGGCACTGCCACCTGGCAGTGGTCCTGGGTTTTGCACAACCTCATGCTTCACGATGCCACTTCCAGATGGCATCCATATCTCACGCAGCCCCATATCTTACACGGATCAGACCAGGACTTGTGTAGTATGGCCAGCAGAACACTCTTTTTTCGACGACATTTGCAGCGAAAGCACATACATACGGGACTAATTACAGTAAAACCCCATTGATTCGGACATCACGGGACTGGAGAAAAAGTCCGAATTAACTAAGGGTACAAATTATCGCGAGTACAAACAAAACAGTTGAAAAACGTCTCCTACATCATCAGACTTTTATTTCTTAAAAAAGTCTGTGATTGCGGTTTGCTTCATGGACACAACGTGCGGCGAAGTCACAGTTTTGCGAAGTTCCTGCAGGTGGTTTAGTCCGCTCACACTGTCCGAGGAAAGCATTCATACGTCCTCCAAAACGGCCAACGCATGCGCAGCCTCCGTCATTATGTGGCGTGGATGCTCTTCAGCATCACTTACGTCCTCGTCAGCCGATTCCCCTTCGCCGTCCAAGACTTCAGCGTCGATATCGCTGTTGGTCACTGTGCCGGCCATGGCAACTAATCGCCAAGGGGCACGTCAGCTCGCATCATGCTCACATAGCGGACGTCTTGCCCTTCACCGGTTTCCTCATCGGCCACCACACCCGGATCAGCAGTGTTGTGCATGAAGCCGCTATTTCTAAAGCAGTTTGCGAGTATTGCAGGCGGTGTGTTGTTCCACACTTACGTCAGCATATGGATTGCGCTTAGCAGGCTTACTTCGTACTGCTTGCCTGACTCTATGCAGAGCAACATCCGCTCGAGTACCTGCCGTCGATAGCGGCTTTTCACAAACTGTATGATTCCCTGGTCTATCGGCTGCAGGGAAGCTGTTGTGTTTGGAGACAGGAATAGCAGTTCAATGTTCTCGATCCCAGACACCTTTGTGTGCGCCCTATAGTTGTCTAGCACGAACAACACCTTCCAAGCCTTGGTTGCAAAGCGGCGGTCGAGCTGATGCAGTTAGGCTTGAAAGAGTTCGGTAGTCATCCAAGCCTTTTTGTTGAGCAGGTAGTCGACAAGCAGCTGCTTAATCTTCTTAAAACACCTTGGCTTCGCAGCCTTCTCAACCACCAGCAGCGGCAGCCGCACTGTGCCGGTCATGTTAGCAGCGAGAACTGCCACGCGCTTTTTACTTCGTTTTCCACCGACGCACGGGTCCCCCTTAAACACGATTGTTTTGTCAGGCAGAGCCTTATAGAACAGCGCTGTCTTATCAGCACTGAAAATGTTGCAAGGCTCGTACGAAGAAAGGCGTGCGGGATAGTTCAGACCGCCAGTCCTGCACAACACTTTCGTCATCCGCGCCTCTTTCACCAAACACGTTGCAGAACACCAGCCCGTGTCGCTTTTTGAAGCGGTCGAACCAGCCTTCTGATGCATTGAATGGCTCAATGTTTCTGGTCACCGTGAACTTCTCTGCTTGTGCGCAGATAAGGGAGTCACTCAAGAGCAAACTCGCATCGTGCGAAACTGCAATCCCGTGCAGCAGCGCTTCTTCTAGCTTGGGATGTGCTGCCGTTCGCAGCCTTTTCCTTTGGTCGCCAAACATGTCCCCTGTCATACGCTTGCATAATCTGTTCTTCGTTCTTCACGTAAGTGCTCAGCGTGCTTTTCTTCACATTGAACTTTTCCATCACTTCTTTTCGAGATGCTCCCGCTTGCAACGCCTTCAATATTTTCACCTTCGCAGCCAAATTCCTTGCTTTATACTTCGCCCTCTTCGCTGCGGGAGGTGGAGCCACAGGAGGCGGAGGGGAAGCCATCCCAGGGTCACTCGCGTGGTGGTCACGCGCGCACACAAAGTAGACAACACAAACACACACGCAACAAAAAATGCACGGTTATAAAAACAAAATAAAAACCGGCGAACTTTTCACAAAACAGCAAGCAGTAAGATACCGTACAGATAAATAATTTAAAGCACACTAGAGGTGAGCAATCCAACTCAACCGTCAAGCGCAAGAAAAAAATGGAAAGGCAAATCCTGTGGGTTGCCCGTTGCTGATGACAGTAGCGATGCACTGCCTTCCATTTTGGTTGTTTAAACCACCATGTGGTTTTTTGGGGGGGGGGGGGGGGTGCCTTTAGAATTGTACAGCTAGTTCCTACCCGTGGATGAAGTTTTGAATCTCGAAGGCCGCAATCCGATCCCAAAGTTGTTTAGGTGCGCCATCGATTTTGCCAGCAGAATCCGCTGCTGCTTCCTCGTCGTGACTCGACCGCGGTCGGGCGTTGGAATTAACCGAAGTACAACCGAATTTGTCCGAATTAGTGAGACTCCTCAGTCATAGCACATTGTATATTTTGGACGAGACCAGACGCAGTGGCTGAATTAACGGGGGTTGAATTAACGAGATTTTACTGTATTTTACAAAGAAAGCTGTTTTCATAACAGGGCCAGTATGCACACATTGCACTTGTTTCACATATAGCATGCAATGTTACGGAAGTAGGTGAAAAAGTTTGTTAATCGAAATGTATGCATTGCATGTCTGGTAATCTGCTTTCAAGGTTTCGATGTCTATCACAAGCATGGTGAGACTATTTTCCATTGATATGAGTATTTTTCATGACCCTGAAAGATCTGTAACATTGAAATTTTACTATGCCTGTGTTTTAAGGTTACTTCATTTGTTATGTTCAGGTCACATAATTAAATAACCTTGAGACCAGCAATGCTAACCTTGGGAAAACAGGTAAACAAATTTATACTGAGCACCTGTGTTGTGTGCTTCTTTGTTTGGGTGTCCATATTCTCTTCAATTTTGTGCTGCTGTTCTTGAGATAATGTGCAATCAACTGGCTCACCATCATCGCTAAGCAAGTTCATATTTGTATGCACTTGGCACGTTACCGTGTCCTTTTTGAGTTCACCTTTGATGTGAGAAGAATGTGTTGACATTCTACTTAAATTTGCCTTAAAGGGCATCTTTCATAATCCTATTATGAGTCTTGTAGTAATAAATATTTGAGTAGTGCCATCCTGGACTGTTGACATTGCCACTTTCAGTGTAACTAGCAGATGTGCAGTGTTACAGTTGCCTTCTATGCATGCAACTCGTTCTACAGACGCATCGAGTGTTTGTAAATGGGTTAAATTAATGCACCTAGCACGAAACTGAGGATTTCTTTGTGTATCAACAAAAGATGGCGTCATTCGTAAAGCCCTACGCTCATCTCAAATGCGTAAAATTTTTTCCTTTGCCTTGCGTATTTCGACAGAACTTGTTTTCCGCTGCACGGAGTTAGTGACGGTTCTGTGTGTGATTGTTGATGTGCGATGCCGTTTCACTGCATTCCAGGGTACTGCCCCTCACTCCTGAAGATAGGTCAGCTGCGTACACGCTCAGCACCATGGCCCAAGTGAGTCGCTTCTTGCTACCAGTGGTGTCTAGAGTGGTGCTCTATGTTTCCCCTAAAGGGTTTCCTTAGAAAGCGTGGTGCAACCTCACCGCAGGACTTCACTCTTCACTGCTTCACAAACCATCTGTCTTCAGGTTCCGCAGCTAGGAGCGTAGGGGGTGGTTACCAACGCATGCACACACTGCTTTCTTTTGAGCACGTAAAGTACACGCTCCTTTATATGCTAGAAGTTAGATACGTGGTGACGGCAAGCTTTCAGTGGGTTGTGTAAAAGCTGCTGTATTTTCTTGCGCATAGCCCACCAAAAATAAACAAAACATTTGGAGCTAATGTCGAGGTAAATTTCATTGGGCAAATTTTGTTCATGGCACGACTTTACTGAGATTCAAGCTAAGTGTAATAATCTAATCATGCAGAGCTGTTTTATATAGTTTTTATTTTCTCATTGCTTGCAGTGGAGGTGTGCATTATGCGCAAAAAAAAATACATGTTAGTCCTGGGTGTATTATTCTAATTGTTTCTTGCTTCTTTGTTTCTTTCATGAGTGCTTTCTCTACAATAAAAATTATTTAAAAGAAACAGCACAAAGAAAAATGAAGGCCAATCAAGTTTGAATGAAGCGATTGCACGTGTGACAGTCGTGCAAGCGGCATCAAAATTCCAGAGTATAAACATGCGTCCGAAAACAAACACACAAATTCGACCTTCGATATAACGAACTTAAATATAACGAAATATGGGATATAACATATTAAATGAAGAATAGTCTTGTAATATATATATATAGTGCTAGGAATTTACTTTTATAATGAACGTTTAGATTTAAGAGCTTATATTTGTGTAAGATGCAACTTTGTTATAACAAGGTTTAAGTGTACTACTAACAAACACAAAGGTGCAAAGAAACCTTCTTTTGTATTAGTCAAGAAGACAAGCTGAGTTAAGGAAAAAAAAAACATTTTGATAGTTTTTTGAAAAGGAGGTACTGTAGGGAACTATGCGAACGACGACGAAGCAGCATGAAACGGCAAGCCACAGCGTTGGTGCACGCGCGACCCGAGCTTGCGTTTGTTTTTGTATTTTCGGCCTGTTGGCATTCCTCGCTCTTCTGGCGTTCCTCGGCCTTCCAGTAGGTCTGTACGTGAATAAACTGCGTGACATCTGGTGGAGGTGTGTGGACTCCCGTACAAACCTGGAACTTCGCTCCCGTAAGCTTCCCCCTCTACGTGACACGAACATGGCCACCGAGACGCCTCTCCAGGTGGGACCTTCGACCGTCCATGTCACTTGCGGTGCCGTGTATCCTCAACGAGACCCTCCTATCTTCACGGGCTCCACTGAGTCGGACGTCGAAGATTGGTTGGCGAGGTACGACAAAGTCGGCGCAAGTAACAAATGGGACGACCCAAGTAAGCTGGGCTACGTCACATTCTACCTTGCGGACACCGCGCAACTGTGGTTTAATAACCACGCAGCTGACATTACTGTGTGGTCTGCATTCAAGACGGCTATTACGGACGTCTTTGGACGCAAGCTCGGGTCGCGCGTGCACCAACGCTGTGGCTTGCCGTTTCATGCTGCTTCGTCGTCGTTCACATAGTTCCCTACAGTACAATCTTTAAACCAGGGATGAGGCACTCATAAATACCCGACAAAAGTAGAGGAGAGTATTAGTCAAGAAGACAAGCTGAGTTAAAGAAAAAAAAACATTTTGATAGTTTTTTGAAAAGGTGGTACAATCTTTAAACCAAAGATTAGGCACTCATAAATACCCGACAAAAGTAGAGGAGAGAGTGCCCTCTATTGTAGCACAAATGGTAGAGCATCTATCGCGTAATTCTGAGGTTGTGGGTTGGGATTTCACTGACGGAAGGGGTGCTGTTTGTCATCTTGGTAATTCCTTTCAATTTAGGTTGTCCCTGGCTTAATGGTGTCCTTCACCTAATTGTCCGTTGGTTTCATTCGTCGAGTGTAACGAAGAAATGATCCCCTTCCTTCGCTTTGAAGCTGCGGCGCATGAAGGTTGCCCCCTCAATTCCCGTGATCGGCAAAAAGAGCTGTCGCTTGTGCAGCACTGCATATCACCGCCGGCTCCCGCGCCGCCGCCTGCGCCCTCGGAACCTGCAGCCGTGTCGCCACAGTGCTCGCCTTCCAAAAAGTCTCTCAACACCCGGACCCGCCACACGTCGTGCCCAGACCCCGCCAAGCCCCGACGGCCCATGAACGGGTTCATGCTGTTTGCCCAGAAGCACCGCGGAGAGTACTCCCACATGCATCCTGGCAAGGACAACAGGTATAACCGTTGTAACGAGACTTTGTTCGAGAAGGAAAACGATACGGTACACATGTTTAGGTCGTACGAAGGAGAGTACACGGCACGGGCTCACCTTCATTCCTGTTTTTTGCGCAACCCAAATAAGTGTTCATGAATGCACCAACTATCCGAAACGAGAGCTTTACAATAGAGTACAGTCAGCGTCTTACTTTTCCTACCCTTTAGCAACTGCAAAGTTAGATAAATCAGGTAGTCCAGAGAAGATTGAAATGCCTGCTCTTTTACTGAATTGCTGTGCTGTTTTTATTTCTGTGTTATTGTTCTACTAGATATCCTTCATTAGGTTTTATATTTCATTCTATATTTGTGATTTTTCCCTGACATTTTATATTATGGCATATTTGGTTCTGTTAATGTGCCTTATATAGTAGACTCTCAGTAAACGGAAATCTGTTAAACAGAACTACTGCTTAATCAAAACTATCACCTCTGCAATGCTTGGTTTTGGGCTAGTATTCTGCACCTATGATCACCTCTCAGTAAATGGAACTCCTGTTAACATATTTTCCTGGAACATATTTTCTCGGTCGTTTCATGTTCCGTTCACCGAGAGTCTACTGCACCCGCTCCTCTTCCCGGTGCCTTGGCAATTAAATGGTGTAAAAAATAAGGGAATGTATAAATGACTCTTATGCAAACTTCTACTATCTGTTATCTTCATTGAATTTTTATTGAACTTGTGTATTTGTTCTGCTGTTGGTCAATTCGCTCTCGGTGCCTGAAGCCCAGCGAGGCTGGTCTTGTTTGTCCTGTGCTTCAGTGCCATGAATATGGCAAATCAGGTCTGCAGAAACTCCCACAGTCTGGAAGAAGATTCATTACAAAGGCAAATTATTGTCTCGTCAACTGTGTACCATGGTGCAGCGGAAATTGTTGTCCTCGTCCTGGCACTGAATTCTGGACCAACACTGTACCATACAAACTGTCAACACCCAAGGGCCGGCAGACCGTAGAGCTAGGACAGAATTGGTGAACAACTTGGTGAATAACTTGAAGGCACCTGTCCTGGTATGGATTCCCATACTAGGGGGGAATTTTCACTAGACTACAAAGCTCTCTCTCTCTCTCTTTTTTTTTTTTTTTTGAGGGGTTTCAAAAGAAAATTTCTGTAAAAATATGAAACATGACAGGCCATCATTTGCGGCCGTTGTGCTGCCGCGAGTGGCAACACGGCAATTTTTCCACTTATACTATGACAACCGTACTAATGTCGCACTGTTAGAATGTAAGGCTTCTCTGGGGCACTTTAAAGGGACCCTACAACACATCTAGTATCCATGAAATGGATCTACAGAAGGAACTTATCAGTCTTGCGAATTCATTGCCGCAAAAATTTTCAAAATCCATTTAGCTCGAGCGTAGTTACGAAGATCTGTCGCACACTGTGATTGCATTCTCTCGTTCCGAGAAAAGCGCTTGTTCCGAGGAAAGTTTCGTGGAAAGCAGGGAGGGATGGCACGAGGAAAGAAAATACGTCACGCGGGTCTCATAACCTTGAGAACTTTTTGTCTTCTTCTTTTCCCCCAAGTACGCGACTTGTAAGTGGGATTGTGCGTTTACGTGTGGACGAGTCGCGGCCTCCTGCTGTGGCCTCTGTAACGAGTGAGCGCGTCATCAAATCGGCCAATAACTGGTAGTAACAGCTGCGATGAGTGATTTTTGAGCTTGTTCTGTTCATTTGTCGGGAGAAGAGAAAGCAACTTCTAGCTGTCTGAGAAATTATTGTTAATTCCAGGCTGTGTGCTGTGCTATAATATTTGGCTCGCGTGTTCTTAGTAGCCTCTACTGCCGATTGGCAGCGCTTTCTGACCATGCTCACAAAGTGTTGCTGAGCCCCTTCAAGTGTCAATACTAAGAGGCAATTTCTACATTCATAAATCTGCCTACTCATGTCATGATTCGTACACATGTTCTTTGCCACAGGGCCATCAGTGTAATGCTGGGCGACCAATGGCGCAAGATGAAGTCCGAAGAGAAGAAGCTCTACTCTCAGGAAGCCAAGGTTCGTGCCGACGAGGTCAAGAAGGTCCACCCAGACTGTTGGAAGCGCAAGCGCTCCTACTCTACCAGTATCTGAATGTGCCGTTTTCACCGAGACACTCACACGGTCTACACTTCCGGGCTCTCTCATCCGGAGAAGCTCCCCTCGCCTTCCACCGTCGCGCTTCTACCTTGGCAAGTACACACTGCCGTTGGAGGAGCGGGGATGCTGTGATTTCGTCGGATGCTCAACGGGATGCACAGGATAGCTTCGTGAAGAGGTGTGCGTGAAAGTGTTACGCTTCATGCTGACTTGCAAGGCCATTCTGAGAACACCCACTGCCCTGAATCGCGACTATGGAAACCTGACGTTTGCACAGAAAGCAGTAGCCATTCAGGGTCCTTGGACTGCGTTTAGAAAACCTGATGCTAGAAAGTCCGTTGCTGTGAAGTATTGGTAGAGGTGGCCTGTGATGATTTAGCTGGGTGCAAGTGGTGAGGCCTTACGGAGGAAGCAAGGATCGGTTAACAATACGGCGACGTCGCACTGGCACCATCACGCAGCTTAAATGTCGCATTGTGCTACGGCAACGTTGGCATTGGTTGTCAAGCATCTGTGTGTGCGTTTGCTTCAGACTTGTGCAAGACTGGAGAAAGGGGCCTGATGGAGGAATCTATCACTCTCTATTTACATGTCGTCGTATTGTTTGGAGCAGCATGTGTGATGGAGCGAGACAACAGGCGGCGGTTTACTCGCCGGCTGTGGCTTCTGCTACCTGCTTCTTCCCATTCTTCGTGCTAGAAACCTGCGTGGAGCCGCGCTGTTCATCTAGGTGTTCTTGTGTTTCCCCTGTGATTAAGGGACTTTCCGCTCGTCTTCGTTGACTGATCTTTAATTGTATTCTGGGCTTTCTATGCGGTGCTGTTTCACTGAACTAGAGTGCCCACGATCATTGGAGTAGTTGTGCTTTCAGCTGGCTTGCTTTCCTTTAATTACTAACTAAAGTTTCACGCAGCTGTTTTCTTCTAAGCATTGCATCCTTCATCTCCTTCGCGATCCGGAAGATAGTTTGTAGCAGTGCAAGAATGGTTGACCTCTACCTGGCCTGTTAAGCCCTCTGAACAGCCCCTTCGCCTTGTTGCTCGATCCTAAGCATTTCTTCGGTTTCGGACTCTTTCCTTGCTTGACGTATAGCACGCATGGTGGAATGAGCGTTCGTAGAAGTGGTGTATAGTAGTGTACTGCTGCGGCATCCTTGTTGGGCTGTCGTTTCGCACCCTTTCCTTTATTTCCGCTCCTTGCTGCGCCTTTTCTGAAGTGAATGCCGGAGCTGAAAAGGGTGCAGCTGCGTGGTGTGCTGCCCCCTGGTGTTTGGTGGCCCAAGTATTGGGCAGTCGGCATGCGACGTCTAGTTGCATTGTATTATCTTGCAACATGTCAGGCCTTGGGTGTCGAACATTGTTTGCCCGTGTAGAAGTTTCTCTCTGGGTTGGTTCACTTATTCTGGGTCAAGTTTGTTTGTTTTTATGCTGGTTGCAAGAAACTTGCATACAGCTCGTCTAGTGTGTCGTTTTAGGAGTGGTCAGTCTCGCTTCTTAAAATTGTTATAGCTCTTTTTCTTTTGTTTCACGGTTTTCTGGCTCTGTCTCATTCAGCCTTTGCCATTTCTTTACTTTGCAGTGGAAGTTATGTTAACTGGCAGATGTCGTGCCGTGTGCATGTGGGCCGTTTGCATTCTTTATTATTGTCTTGCTTTTGTGCATTTAAGAAGGCCCTTAATACTCTTTCGGGTGCTTTTTTACTGAATGAATAGCATGTGTAGTGCGAGTCATGAGGTGTTAGGAATAGTGGTCCTCTCTGGCTCAGTGGTCAGTCTTGGCTTGATTTTGTGCTGGCCTTAGAAGTGAGCGTTGCAAGGCCAAAGCTCGCTGGTAAGCGGGTCTCTTGATGTTAGTTGTGCACAAAATGTACGAACACATCCGCTTTGGCTAATTTTGAACAGGCCGTCTTACTTTAAGAGCATTCTGGGCGATATTTAGTTGGAAGAGATGAGTAATTATGTAAAGCAGCACAAACGACTGGACAAGAAATGGACACTACGAACACTTCTATGACTTGTAATGCCTGTGCAGCCTGAAAATCGTTAACAAGTGATGCGCCTTAAACAACAAGTTTGCTGAATACTTAATTACAAGTTTTAGATTTTAGGCCGACTCCTAAGCTGCTAACTTGACGTATCTTACATAATCGTGATATATTTTTTAACCAGGTTCTTCCTGAGCACATTTGACAAAAGATTCTAGCTCCCCCTCTCTCTTTTTTTCCTTCAATGTCGGAAAGGAAGTCTGGCATCGCAACACGTGCATGCAGAAGGAAAGAGTGCACACGTCTGACACTGAACACCCATAGTTCATCGTGGAAGGAGATTTTGTCGTTTCTTATCCTTAGCAATTCAGGTGGTGGTCCAAGTTTTGAGTAGTGTGTTGCCTTGATGGCCATAAAAGGGACAGTCCTTGTTTTGTTGAGGGGGCACTCTTGCAGGTATTGTTTGACATGCTCGGGCGAAGTTTTCTCGTTCGTAAGCTCCGAACTGGTCTTGTTTCGGAAAGTAACAAAAGAAGGCGCCTGACTGAATCTGCACCGCGTTGGCCCATGAAATGCAGCGCAGGCGGCGTAGACGCTGGTAAAGGCCGGACAAGTTCAGGTTACTAGTCAGGTCTTGCCGAGGCAGCAGCAGCAACATCAAAAAAAATTATCAAGTACAAATTTGCATTGGTCACTTTCGAAAGACCACTGGCAAAAACAGAGACCTTTCTTTTATTATTTTTTATATAAGGTAGAAGAGAAATGAGTTTGACGCACTGTCATGTGCCAGTGTTTATGGTAGTGCTCGTGCCAAAATGTTTTTTTGTGTAATGCTCGAGTCTCGTGTCGTCACTCTGTGAACCTTCCAACTCTCTATCATGCCATGAAGAAATTTTATTATAATTTTACAAACCAATGCAAGCGAAGTTGATTTCGCAAGAACATGCTTGCATTCCTTTTATTACACCTTGTGGATAGATGCCTTTTTTTTATGTACCATGATTCCCTCTTTTTTTTTTGCGTTCAACTAGAACAGGAAGAAGTGCCGTGTTTAAGACAAAACGAAAAAGAATTTTTTTTTTTTTTATGCGAGTGGCAGTCAGTTGATTTATATACGTTGCTGCAAGAACACTGCACGCACAACAAAGCATAGATTAGTATTTTTGGTGTTGCGGATCACCAGTGTTGATATTGTTTTTCTTTTACTCTCCGGTCATATTGCTCCCATTTTATTTGTTTGTTTTTCAAAGGTGGTGGCCGATTTTTTCGTTCGTTGGCGTTTGGGTGTGTGTTCATCATTGTTTGCCATCGTCGCATCGCACGCTGCCGTGGCACGTAACCAATTTTCCACGTGATGCCATCGCTCGCCATCTTATTTTGCATATTTTTACGTTACCGGGGATTTATTTGTTTGACCCATTAACCTTTTGTAGTCCTCTCCCCACTTGCGTAACCCCGGCGAACCCCTTGTTTTGCCGGCATTTTTTTTAGTGGTGTTGCTACTTTTTTGTCTTTTTTGTGTTGCTTTTTTTCTTCTTTTGTCTACAGCATTAGTCTACAACTCTGGTCCCTATTTTTTATGTAACTTTATCCCAGTTTGGTCTGCCACATTGTGGTGTGTACTTGAATCTATTTCTTGAGCTGTTGCTGTGGTTGTCCCATGATTTCGCAAGCACTTGCATCGACTGGTGTTGTCAAGACAAATGTTTCGCCGATCTGATGCTCTTTTTTTTTTTTTAAACGGTGAGGTGTTTGTTTTCTTTCGTCACCCGTCTTTTTTTTTTTTTTTTTACCTCCCTTGTTATGTAAAGCGACGGCCATGCAATGCTCTTGTCATGCAGTTCTTACTCCGGTGTTTTCGGGCTCGTGCATTGTTTGGGTCACCGAATGTTGTGAGGCTCTTAATGCAAGCCGATTGCATCAAAGTCGCAGCCTGCTTGGTTATTCCATGAGCCGTATCAGTGTCACGCCGATGTCATCTCGCTATGGCAGCAACATTGGGACAGATGCGGTGTTATTCGAAATGGTTGCTAAGTATGGGCCTCTTTTGAAACTCGAAAAAGTGTTCCCCTGTTTTAAGTACTATGTTGCTGCCTGATACTACTTAGTACGCACTGTTTCGGTGATTTCATCTACTTCTGCCGGTGAAAGTTGGACTTTTTTTTACCTATTTCACCTTGCATGACTGCAATGCCAAGTTGTAGTGTAAAGTGTTGATTCTCGTCTCTCTTAAAAACATCAAGCAGGGATCTTATTGACACCTTGAGAATATGCAGCAGACACCCTGAGAAAACAGTCTATGCTCAGATGTTTGCTTTCATTTTTATATTTTTTTGCTGGCGGCACTTAATGATTGACTTAGTTAAAACCTCTCACTAGTGTTCATCGCATTTGCTTAATTTAAAGGTTGCTTCGTGGTTGATTACCTTTTTTTTTACCACGCCTTTTCGGGCTGTCTGAGGGCCACCGAGTGTTTGTGGCGTGTTAGGAGTGCAACTTCTTCAATGCGACACCAACCCATGTGTGCGTATGTTTGTATTCTTCAGCTGGTGCAATCTGTAAGACTTGGGGTTGCAATGATTTGTGCCAAAATGACGACACAGTTTTCTGTGCAACGTAGAAACCGCACACCATTTAACCAGCGAAAGGGGAGCTTTCGTAAATTTTAGATGCACAGCCAGGTGGTGTGCTTTGGGAAAATCAGGCGGCACAAAATACACGCAGGCCTATAAAGCCACACGACTGGAGGGTTGTGTGCGTTTTTTGTTTGTGCGTCTGGTTCACGCTGTTTATCTTTTTCGAAGCAGTGGCTAGCCCACACCAAAATTTTATTTCCTGTATTGTCGGCCCTGCTTCTAAAGCTGCATATATCAGCATCATACCTTTTGAGTTTCTGGCTGTGTATGCTTGGTGCTCAAATAATTGCCACACTGCTGAGGCTGAGACATCTTTTTTAAAAAGGGGCAGGCATACTTGCAATGCAACACAGTTAGGGGGGGGGGGGGGGGGTACGAAAGATGTGAAAACAAGATTTTTGGCAGCATAAACTTGTCTTGACGCATCGTAGTGACAACGCGATCAAAGCATCGGCACTGGGGACAACCGTCTATATCTGTACAACACATGTACATGCCTGACACAGTCTTGCAGCCTTTGTAAACGTTACCTGATTATCCATCTGGCATGTAACGGAAATCCCACTTAAAAGCGCACCATGGGTGGTCTCTCGAGCCTTTGTCTGGCCATGTCCATTGCTATCAACGACGTTAAATTGTGGACAGCAGAATGCGCGACTTTTTGCACGGCCTAGTCCACAACGAGCGGCCATGAATATTGCCTATCGATTTCGACTGGCCCACAAGCGATTGGTAAATTTCACGTTCTCGTACATACTGGCATTCTGTAGGTTGCACAAGAAACCGAACATCGCAAGTGTTACAGACACAATGTAATGGGAAGGCAGCAGCTTTGTCTCACTCTTAAGTGTTGTATTTAAAAAATGGGAAACTGTATGAGGTGCACCAAATGGCTAAGAGTTACTCGGCATTCATGTACTAGGTGGCCTGCTTACTTTCGAAAGACACTGTACACTATTCAACAAATGTAATTCAATTCGTATCGAAGTCTGCAGACATTCAGATGTCGCAATGCAGATTCCCATAAACTGTAAAGTTTCCAGCGCGAAAACACGGTTGAGGTAATGTTGGTATGTGACCTTCGACGCTCCTGTCTAGTAGTCGTCGCTCCCGTCCGTCTTTACTTGTGATTTGGGAAGCCCCGTCTAGATACGAGAGCGTTGGTCATGCACCTTTCGTGGAACTACCTCGGCAGGCAAGCAAGCTCTGCGGAGCCGCACATTATGGAACCGAAGAAGTCTAATGCCTTTCATTTGTTGAGGAGGGTACTGTTTGTTCTATCCGCAATCATGTCATGTTTCCTACTGGCTGTGCACATTAAACCACTGTATTGTAAACTCTATAATGTGCCTGAAAAAAGTGTTATAGAGGAATGCACCTGCATGTTGTTTCAGCAAGTCTGCTCGGGTATACTTGCGTTTGCTCGGGTGCGCCGGTGGGGCGAGGCAGATGGGTGCTCAGGGGAAGGCCTTGTGTGCAGAGATGTTTTGTCGCGATACTACCCTTCCTGGTGCAAGCATGAGCAAGCAACTATTCCTACACCTTTGGTGTATGATACCCCCACTTTTTCCAGCGTCTGTAGCTGGTGTAATCTCGCTCATGTGTAATATAGTAAGTGTTTCTAAATGCATTGTTTCTGAGGGTCCCCTTTTGTAAAAGTTTCACAGCAGCAGGATTCGGGCAGTTTGTCCAGCCATAAGTTAGCACTTATCATTTCCAAAGTGTCATCTGCTCGTTGGCACTTTGAAAGTATGTACCCTGTGACCTCGCCATATTCCACTTGCTGCGTGAAAACATGTAGAGAATATGTAGAGAAAGTAGCATTGCAAGAGTGGAGGGCTCCGGAAGGGAATTTCGACCATATGGGGTTCTTTAACGTCCACCTAAATCTGAGCACACGGGCCTACAACATTTCCGCCTCCATCGGAAATGCAGCCGCCGCAGCCGGGATGCACATGGTGCGTTTCTCACAGGCTGATCATGTGTAGTGGACAATGAATGAAAAGATTGCAGCACACTATATTTGTTAAGTCAAGAATTTGTATCTGTAAATGTATTCTTCTTATACTTTTTTCTCTCCACGGTCAAAGTACTTGGCCACATGCACAGCCTTTTCAGAAAACTTGAGGCTGGTGCTGTTTTCATTTTCAGGGAGGGGGGTCGGTTCCTGTTTGGTGCTATGCTCCAAGATTCTTGCCTGTAGGAAGGATGACCTTAACTTATACTGCCAAAGGCTGGCAATAAAATTCAGTTGACTGTCGTTTGAACGTACATCAGCTTACAAGTTTTGGTTTGAAAAGTTGTACTGCTTAGTTTTTGGTAAAGCTTCCTTAATATAGTAGTTGTGTAAGAGCCAGAGGACGCTGTAATATATTTGCTGCTGCTCTTGCGTCTCGTACAGTCATAGCATTTTTGTGAGCCATATTTGATGTGGTTGTCACTTAGCACACTTTCAGTCACAACTGAGCTTGGCTGGAATCAAATGGGCAGATCTGTGCTAGCTGGGAGATGGAGCTAATCAATGTTGAGAAGTTCAAATTTATATCAGGCTCTCGCAAGCTGGGGGGTGGCTTTATTCTCCCTCCCGCCCCCCTCTGGATCCGCCTCTGCTTGAAACTGATGTTTTTAGTACCAACATGGATCAGTGTAATCTCGCCCAAATATCTGTGCTACAAAAGCCTGCAGCATCTCTGTAATCCAGTAACGGTGAGTGAGCGGTCTGAGCCGTGATTCCCGAACAAGATGCTTTGTCGGTCATCGAGCGAAGTTACACCAGCTACAGCTTGGCACAGCTATCTAGTAGTTCGTATATATGGCCTTCCAACAAGTACCTGAGTGCCATGAGAATATATAGCGCGCGTGGACTTTTCACCTGCAGTAGCCAGTTGTAGAAAAAGCTGCTGCCGTCCTTCTACGACTTTTATGTTGCTTTAAAAATCTAGCTTGTTTGAGAGGGAACATTTACGGACGATAAATTATGCTATCTGTGAAAAAAAAGTTTTTTTACTGGCTGAATAGAAAAAAAATGTCAGCACGTAACCGAATTCACTTTTCTTTTGGTGGTGAATACTGTGCACAGACATGTGCATTGTGTGAAAATGTTATTGTTATCACAATGATCGTCAATATTATGTTTATCAATCAAT